ACCGCTGGCCTCCTGGGGGCCGAGGCCCTTGCGACGCAAGTCGCGGAACCGCGAGCTGAGGAACGTCACCAGTCCCGGCGAGTCGATCAACGGCTCCAGGGGCCCCAGGGCTTGCTTGTGCTTCGCTGTGGAGGCGATCTCGGCCACCAGGGCCTGATGGGCCGCCGGGCTCAGGGTGAGCCTCGGTGTGAGCCTGGTGAGCCGGTCGGCGGCCTGCCGGAGCGTGAGTACCGAGACGGCCAGCCAGCCCCCGCCGCCGGCCGCGATCAAGTCCCGCCGAATGGCTGCCGCGGCGGCCGGGGAGGCGGCGATCCACCAGAGGGGCGTCGTCCGGTCGGGGGCGCCCGCGACTGCCTCCACCAAGCTCCGCCGCCGGGCCTGGGGGGACCCCGCTGCCAGACGGCAGGTGAGGGCTCGCGGATTGGGGGGAATAGTGGCCAAAACGAGGTGAAATCGCCTGGGGGTGGGGTTATAATGGACGTTTGTGAACTAAGTTTGCCATTACACCGCTGAGCGACGCTAGTCGCACCCCCCCGATTGGCCCCCCTGTTTAGCAGCTGCCTATTTCATTGACAGCACCGACGCGTAGTGGTTTACTGCTCACACGGAACAGTGTCACGGGCCCATGGTCCGTTTCTGCTGAATTGCTGGCTCTTCTGCAATGAACATCGCGAGTCCCAACGCCACCGGAGGCACAACGCCGCGGATTGGCGGAGTTTTCGCGGGCGTTGGTTCGCAGCCGAGCCGATAAGAGAGGGTTCTACCGTCCGATCGGGCGGAGATCTTATTCCTGTTTTTCTTTTTCTTAGACGGAGGTTCCCATGAGGACCAACCCACGAATGCCACGGGGTTTTACCCTGGTGGAGCTGCTGGTGGTGATCGCCATCATCGGCATCCTGGTGGCGCTGCTCTTGCCGGCGGTCCAGGCCGCCCGCGAAGCGGCCCGGCGGAGCCAGTGCAAGAACCAGCTCAAGCAGATGGGCTTGGCGTGCTTGCTGCACGAAGACACCCACGGGTTCTTCCCATCCGGAGGCTGGGGGACGCGTTTTCTCGCGGAGCCCAACCACGGATATGGTCGCAAGCAACCTGGCAGCTGGTATTACAGCGTATTCAGCTACTTAGAAGAAAACGGTTTACGAGATCTTGGTAAGGGCCAGGCGATCGGGACGGAGCCCTGGCGGACCGCACTCCGCCAACTCGTACAGACTCCTGTCAGCACCTTCAACTGCCCTAGCCGCCGTGCGATTGCCATCGGCATCCACGATTTCACTCGATTCACCGTGGCAAGCGAGTACGGAATTACGGGCCAAATACCCGTTGCGAAGGGCGACTATGCGGGAAACAGCGGCGACACGTTGCATGCGACGATCGGCAACAACACGCTACAGTCGATGACTCGCTATCCAACCTCGCTGACAGCAGGGGACAACTTCGACTGGCCGAACACGTCGAGCCCAGTGGAACCTGGATCAAATCCACAGAGAGTTAACATCCATTACCAAAACGGGGTGATCGGTTTTGCCAGCGAGATCAAGCCTGCGCAAATAGTCGACGGGCTATCGAAGACGTACTTGATCGGCGAGAAGTTCGTTGCCCCGAAAGCGTACGACGATAACACAGCTTACGGGAGTTCGCTCGGCGGGTATGGTGACAATCAGTCGATGTACATCGGCTACGAGTGGGACAATCAACGTGTGGCCTTCACCTCGAAGATCCCAGCGCCTTTCTCAACGAATGTCGCTGACTTTCAACCTTCCGCGGACAGCGATGCCGCATCAGACGACATCAAGGCTGTCACAGCCTTCGGCAGTGCGCACGCGGGCGCTCTGAACATGGCGTTTTGCGATGGTTCCGTCCAAACCGTTTCGTACGACATCGACCCGACCTTCCATCGGGAGCAAGCGATACGGAACGACGAGGGCGACGTCAACTCGCATATCATCAAGGCCGGCCGCTGAGCGGTCGCCTACCCTGCCGTATTGGCAGGGATTGCGGGTATCACGATCGATTGCGGCGATAACGTCTCAGAGCCTGCGGGGAACCTCTCCCCGCAGGCTTTTTTTGTCGCGCGGACGGGATGGCTGGTGTCAGCAGCTTCGGAAATGCGCGAAGGGGTGACAGACTTGCGCAGTAAAAAGGGCGCGGTTTTTGGGGCGGCTGCTTACGATGGGAAGTGTTGAGAACGCCGGCGTCGTCACCCCTCGCCGCGATCCAACCGACACCTCATCCCCTTAAGCGTCAGCGATGACACGCCCGACCGGGCGGCGCGGTCGAGGCCGACGCTTGACGACTTACCCAGGCCACCCGAGAAACGCCAGGACCCCTCCTATGAAGATCGGAACATTGAGTCGTGCGGCCTTCGCCCTTGCTTGCGGAGCCTCCCTTTGCGGCGTGGCCCCGGCTGTCAACGTTGTCCTCCTCAATGAGGACTTCGAGTCTTACAGCGACACGTCGGCTATGAAAGCCGTCTGGTCGATCAACGGCGCCGATAACGGGACGCTCGTCGACGAGACCTTCACGCAATTCGTCAGCCTCGATGATATCGAGCCGCGTCCGATTGGCGCCCAGGCGTTCCCCGAGGGGGGCAAGGGCGTTGAGCATCTTGGCCAAGGTGTGCTGGAACTGGACCTCGCGGCCCTCAACGGGGGCTCACCGCTGGTCCCGACCGCAAGCCAGTCGATCGTCCTCGAAGGGGACATCTTCGATGTCGGCGCCCTCGGCAACAAGCGCCTAGCGGTCGGCATCCGCAACACGTCGCCGGCCGAAAACATCATCGAAGCCGGCCTCTATAACGGGGACCTCTCCGGCTATCAGCACCGCGGCATCCTCTTCCCCAGCACGGTCGAGAACCCTAACCCCAACTGGGCGTCGTGGGAACTGCCGATCGAACTCGACCGCGTTGACGAC